CTGCCGCCCGCGCCCCCGCCGGCCTTGAGCAGGTCCGAGCGAGACTGGCAGTGCGCCTCGCGGCTGCGCTCGATGTAGATGTTGACGGCGAGCACGCCGATCACCTCGGCCAGGATGAACGACAGCCCGCCGAAGTAGAAGGACCAGCCGTACGAGTAGTGGTTCTTCTTCTCCTCGTCCCGCTTGGGCCCCGGCTCGCCCGCGTTGGCCGAGATGTACACGATCACGCCGATGATGTTGCTCAGGCCTGGGCGGGGACGGTCAGACGGGAGCCTCGAGGCCGCCCCGGCCCCGCCCGCTCCAGCGGGCCCAGGCCCCGCCCCCGGGGGTCTAGGCGCCACCTCCGGATGGTCTAGGTCCCTCCCCGAATGGCTGGCTCGAGTGCCTTCTCGGAGGAGTAATCTCCATTCCCAGCTGGCCCAGGATCTGCCCTTCAGCGGCCTAAAGCTCCACCCCCGGATGGTCTAGGCCCCACACCCCGAACGGCTGGCTCAAGTCCCTCCTCAAATGTCTAAACTCCTTCACAGCTAGCTCATGCCCTGCCCCGCAGGGGCCTCAGCTCCACCCCCAGAGGGTCTAGGCCCCAGCCCGAATGGCTGGCTCAAGGCCCTCCTTGGGTGTCTAAGCTCCATTCCCAGCTGGGCCATGCCCTGCCCTCCAGCGGCCTAAGCTCGGGATGGTCCAGGCCTTTCCCCCCGAAGGGCTGGCTCAAGTCCCTCCTTGGATGTCTAAATTCCATTCCCGGCTGACCCAGGACTGGCCCCTCAGGGGCCTAAGTTCTGCCCCCAGATGGTCTAGGCCCTACCCCGAATGAGCTAGACCCCTACTTTTATGGTCCAATCCCTGGCTGGCTCAAGTCGGTCCGCAGATGTCTAAACTCCATTCCAGCTGATCCAGGTCCCAGATAATACAGCTCCCACTCCAAATGGGCTAGACCCCTGCTCTGCATGGTCCACACCCTGGCTGGTTCAAGTCCTACTTCAGATGTCTGAACTCCACCTCCAGCTTGCCCAGGCTCTGCCCTTGCTGTTCTAAGCGCCACACCCAGGTGGTCTAGGTGCCATTTAGAATGGGCTAGACTTCATCCTGGATGGTCCAGGCCCTGGCTGATCCAAGTCTCACCAGAGATAGTCTAAACCATCACCAGCTGGCCCAGGTCCTGCCCTGGCTGGTTCAAGCTCCACCCCACATGGCCTAGGCCCTATCACTAGCTAGCCCAGGCCCCACTTCTGCTGGTCTAAACCCAGCCCTAGCTGTTCTAACTTCAGGTGGTCTACGACCCACTCCCACATTGATCTAAACTCCATCCCCTAGGTGGCCTAAGCCCCATCCACCCAGTCAAACCTCTTCCCCAGCTGACCCAGGCCCTGCCCTGCTCCCCCATCCCAAGTAGTCTAGGCTCCACCCCAAATGGTCCAGACCCCATCTTGAATGGCCAGGCCCTGGCTGGCCTAGTTCCACTTCACATTGTCTAAACTCCATTCCCAGGTGGTCCAAGCCCTGACCCAAATGGGCCAGACAAGGTGTTGGATGGTCTAGGTCCTGCCCCAAGATAGTCCGACCCCTCCTCATCTGATCTAAACTCCTTCCCTGATGGTCCAGACCCTACTCCTGAGTGGTCTAAGCTCCACCCCAGCTGGTCTCGGGCCTAGCCCTGACTGGTCTAAACTTCACCACTGGTGAAGATGGTTCCAGACTGGATTTTCAGGATCTGCCCTTGTTAGTCTAACACCACCCTTAATGTTATAAACCTGGTTTTTCCTCAGGACCCAACCCTCTGCTGCTTTGAACTCCATTAATGATGCCTTCCTGCTCTGATTCTCTGGGCCCTTTCCATTGCTGATCTAAACACTCTCTTCATGATAAAAACCCCGGCCTGCGTATCTTTTCTAGGCCCACCCCTGCTGGTTTAAATTTGCCTCCTTCCACGGTAGGCCTCACCCCCTGCTTACCAGACCCCTACCCTGCAAGCCTTGGCCAGGCTCCTTCTCCCAGGCCAGGTCCTCCAAGCCCGCCCCTGAAAAGCTAGACCCATATCCCCAAAACACACCCTGCTCTTTAAATGTGCTAAGTCCTCCCTCTTCTCTCTATTCCACCCCTTCAAAAAAGCTCTGCCCCCTGGAATTTCCCAGGGCTACTCATTTAGGGTAGGAAGTCTCATCCCTTAACGACATGCCCTCTGAGTGACTTGGTCTGGGCCCTTGTCCCTTGAGTCTTCCAACCCTAGCTCTAGGGACCATCTGGGTGTCAATTCCAGGTTCTGGCCTTGTCCACCTCTTGAATCAGCCAGGTTAGCCGGGCTCAGTGGCTCAGCCTGTAATCCCACGCTTTGGGAGGCTGAGGTGAGTGGATTGCCTGAGCCCACGGGTTCGAGACCCGCCTGGGCAACTTGGCGAGACCTCATCACTACAATAAATCAAAAAATCAGCCGGGCGTGGTAGCGCATGCCTGTAATTCCGGCTACTCGGAAGGCTGAGGCGGAAGGATCGCCGGAGCCCAGCAGGTCGAGGCTGCAGTGGCCGGGAGGGGCCACTGCACTCCAGTCTGGGCGACAGAGTGAGACTCCAACTCAAAAAAAAAAAAAAAAAAAAAGAATCAGCCAGGTTGACTCCCTGCGCCCTTAACGACATAATCCCTCCCCATTTGACTTTTTCAGGCACCGCCCCTTCTTTTCTAGCCTCTCCTCCTCAAAATGGCAACGGGGCACGGGCCCACGCGGTCTCCCTGGCCCAGTCCCTTTAGTTTCCATTTCCCGGCCCTGGATGGTTTCTCCCGCTCCAGCCCCTTCTTGAATCCACCCGTTTCTTCGCGGCCCGCCCCTTAGAGTAGGCTCCTCCCCGTCAGCCTCCAAACCAACTTTCTCCCTCTC